CCCCCCCCCCCCCACAGCCGTCTGCAAAGGAGGACCCTCCCCACAGGCCGAATCCACATCCTTCGCTCTTTTGACATCCTGCAGACACACACGGGTGGGAATGGGGTACCAAAGGGACAAATGCTGCTCTTTTGTTTATTGGGGGGGGGAGCCAATAAATGCAGGTGGTTCATGAAAGACGTCCTGGAAGGATGCAGGTACAAGTTGCCCAAAGCCAAGGGGGTCCAGTATAAGCCTGGGGGAGGGGACCCTAACTCGCTGGCAGGTGGGCTGGTTCCTTCAAAGGCTTGCAGTTGAAGCCCCCACCTCTCAGATCGCACGGGCAAGCCCATTTCAGAAACGTGCCTGGGTTCCCACATTCCACAGACAGGGTCCTTCTCACGTCTATATTCTTCAGGACTCACACAATATGCCTAACCTTGGGTTCAGAAAACAGGATAGGTTGGTTCACCCTACAATGGTTGGGTATTTCTAGGCCATTGATTATGGAACCTATTTTAGCTTAACCTAGTATATTGTGGAAGCCCAGATGAATAGCATGAACGTGCGCTCCACGTGCATAGCCTCATATGGAAACTCACAGGGATATATTCACAGCCCTGTGCCACTCAGAATGTGGTGGAATGGGTTAGTGGAATTCACTGGCCCAAGAAAGGAGAAGGAGATTCTGTTGCTTGCAACTTATTGGGTCTCATGACAATTAATTAATTAATTAATTAATGGGAGGGCTATCACTTGCAGTGGCTGGATGACAATTACCTTAGTGATGTTCTCCAGCTGGGGACTCTCAAGATGTATTAACCAACTCCCATCCCACGCCCAGCTACCTCATCTTTTTGACTGGATGTAATCCAGTTAATCCAGGGACTTCTCAACACACACACACACAGACCTGTGCTTCTAACTTTCTCTCTGATAGCTATCCAGATATGATGCTGTGTAACAGCCAGCTCTCCCTCTACCCCTGCCCTACCCTAGAGTCTTTTGGTAAGACTTCCAAAAGTGAAAGGCCCCACTGTTAAAAACCCCTAATAAGTGATTACATCTTCCCAAGGGTGTTATAAGGAGTGGGAAGGGATTATCAAAGCAACCCCGGATGTGGACTCCAGATTTCATTGGGATTCAGTGAGATCTGGGTCTTTGAACATCCACAACTCAATTAATCCATTGGTTAATGAATGCAGGTTAACTAATTAAGAATGAGCTGGAAGACATTGAGGTCTGAGCAGCAGTTTGCAGAGGTGTATGGAGCTGCTACATAAGGTTTATATATATATTATAATTATATATATTATATAAGGCTCCTCTACGCCTTAAATACAGGCTGCTAATGTCTGTATCTGTGAAATGCAAGGAGAATAATTCACAGGGCATTTTTAAACACAAATTCTTGCCTTTTCTTGTTATGCTCCTTGTTACAACCCCGTAAATAGGCTATTGCTGTTCTCCCCATATTGCCAATTTGGAGGGGCAGAGACTGGGGACCGGGGGGTGCGTGTGCACAGGCGCACATGCCTTTGAATCAGTTTTGACTTCTGGCTACTGCCTGGAAATAAGTCACTGCAGTTTTCTTGGCAAGATTTCAGAAGTGGCTTGCCATGGCCTCCTTCCCGGGGCTGAGAGAGAGGGGCTGGCCCAAATTCACCCAGCTGGCTTTGTGCCTCAGGCGGGGTCTCCCGGTTTCTAGCCTGATGCCTTAACCACTACACCAGACTGGCTGCCTGCAGAGACTGGAGTTGAAAGATAATGGCTTGGCTGCCAAGGCAACTTCCCAATCTAGGAGAGAGTGGAGAGGCATAATTTGCAGCTCATTCTCTTAGAAGCCAGCCCAAAGAGCTAATTAGCAAATTAAGAATGCATTGTTGTGTGCAATCAGTCTTATATTCCTAAATAAGTGAGAATGCACACTAAGTGTCTTGATTGCTCTTGATGTTCATGGAATTCATATGCTTGCCTTAGTATTTAAGTCTCATTCTCTTCAGTGAGACAAAAGCATGATTAACGTTCTCTGATCTTTCTCAAAACCTGACTGTAGTTTATCTAAGAAGCAGGATGTGGCAGAGAAGCATTCCACTCAGTTCCTACAGGAATCTATTTAATCTTAGTGCCTAAACTTAGACATGGGGGATTCTAAGGCTTTGCTTAAGCATGATTTATAAATGAACTGTAACTGACTAGGTTCACACAGTCAACAAGGTTGGAACCATGGTTTAGTGTGACTGTGTGAACCTACATTCAAAAGGTATTCAGTTTAACATACTCACCCTGTAGATCTTGGGCCTCAGTGATGAACATCAAGTGATGAGAATATCTGGAGGACATAAAGCTAGTTCATATGGACGTGAACGCTTTTTAAAAACTTTTTGGATCTGCGAAGAACAAACATTGAAATGAGCTAGCTAATTAACTAGAAGTCCCTTTCAATTTTCCAACTGTAAGGATAAAGGGAGATGCTTTATTTGTTCAGCCCAACATTGTCTGTTCTGATCTTATTCTTGCAAGTAGAAGTGTCAAGAATTGAACTTAACTGCCCAGAGTCATTGGGAGTCAGGCAGTGTACAAATAAATAAATAGATTTTAAAATCCCCATTCCTAGAACAATCAGCCAGGCATTCTGTGAATAATGAAGATATTTAAGCCTCATTGGACTATTTTTGTTATTTATCTCCCCACCCCACCACAACTGTGGATTATTTTTCCAAGAAATTTTAAAATTATTTCTGCAAATCAAAGCCTGTTGACAATTCTCTCTTGCATGGGTGATACTATTTTGACTGCATGTGTAATAGTGCTTAAGCTTAAACTCCATAATTAATTCAGTTAGAACTAGCCCTAACTTTTGAACTTGTTCTAGGTTACTAATTGTGTGGAATAATTCAATGATTCCCTACCTTTACATTATAACTGATATGCACTGGCAAATTGAACATTAATCATTCTCTATAGGGATACATCCCACCCACAATTTTGTCAGATGATTGTACATAGTGGAACATGTATGTACTTTCTATTGAACACTAATTTGTAACTTATTTTAAGAACTGAAAACTTTTAGGGAAAGTAATGTGAATGGATCAGTGAATTTATGGGTCTTACCAAACTGCACTGTATACAATCATCTTTGAATGCAAAGTCAGAAAAATTAGCTTCCCAAGTTGATTATGATCATGTGAACAAAATACAATAGTGTCCTAATTACAACTCTGAACATAGCTGAAGATTCTTCCGACACCACATTTTCCTTCATAGATTTTGTTTTATTTTCCTATGAAATGTCTTCTTACATGATATTTTTTGGAGTAGTTTTGAAATCTATGCTAACGTTTCAAGGCATGTGCTTTGTTTTGTAATTACTATCCTTCTGCTGTTCTTCCAGCTTCATTCCATTTTGGGGACCAGTGGGACTTTTCCTTTGACATGACCTCCATCTCCAGCAGCTATGATATCAGACTGGCACAACTCCGGGTTCATCTACTGACCTTCTCTCAATCTAGAAATATCACTGTGCACATTTATCACAGTCACAACCACACATGTAATGGGAATCAGACTTGCACAGAGAGGCTGTTCCTTGGTTCTTTTGTGAGTAGCCTCTCCCTCAGCCATTCATCCTGGAAAGTCTTCAACATCACTAGCTTGTTACATTTTTGGCTCCACCAAGGGGTGCCATCTGGCACTAAGATTCCAGAAGTCCCCCAGCAAGACTGGGAGGAGAGGAATATATCTGAGGACAATAGTAACCCAGCAGCTGGTACTTTCCAGGATAAGTGTGTCCACAATAATTCTAGAGAGGGCCAACAGCTTTCGAGCCACAATGGGCCTGATAAAGCACTCTTGGTGGTCTTCTCCAAAGATAAGGAACCTCTGGAGCCTTCTCAGGGCTCAAGTCTCATTAGGACTGTAGAGATGTCCAAGCACGTTATGTTTTACAACACTTCCAAAGAGGCCGGAGGCCGTCGACATCGACGGAACAGGAAACAGAAGCAAAGGATTAAAGTGAGCGCTCTCCAAACCTCCAGTTTGGGGGAAGAAGGCAGATCTTTATGCAAAAGGGTTGATATGATGGTGGACTTCGATAAGACTGGCTTTGGAAGCTGGATTGTGCATCCCAAGAAGTATAATGCATATCGATGTGAAGGAGATTGTCCATCACCTGTAGATGAGACCTTCAAGCCAACAAACCATGCCTATGTTCAGGTATGAAGGAGTGTGTGAGAGACCATGGGGCTTGGCAGAGTGATATTTTCCAGTCCTTTGCAGAGGAACTGGAAAAGCAAGGTTTTTAAGAAGCAATAGTAGAGTGGCCTATGTCTAAAAGTATGCACATGCTTATTTATGATATAGATTTCCCATTTAGAAGTTCCACTTCACTCTTAGAAATCAGGGGGCCATGTTGCTTGTGAAGCAGATTTTAAGGGTGCTTTGTTCAAGCTTTCATCAAGGCAAAACCCCTCACTGAAGAAATAGAGGGTGCTTTCCCATTGCTCACATTGGGAAAAAATGCAATTGTTGGTTTGATTGGCATATCTGTCTAAAAGTAAAACACGTGACCCCACTTTTGATGGCTGGTCCTTCTGAATGTGTTGGTGATTCCGCACTTGAACCAGAGTCCAGCCAGGGGCTTGGTAGTTCTGAATGACTAATCAGGAGCTGCCAGTTCATAAGAGCAAATCTTCTTGACCTCTCTAGGTCTGCACTTGCAGATGATGCTCATGATTTCCTTTTCTGTTTCACAGAGCTTGCTGAAGGTATACCAACCCAACCGGGTACCTTGCCCATCCTGTGCTCCAATCAGGTTAAGCCCATTGTCCATGCTGTATTATGAGAAAGGAAGAATAAGGGTCCGTCACCACGAGGACATGATAATTGAAGAATGTGGCTGCAACTGATGCTTATGGACCACTGCTGGCTGACTAATGGGAGTCTCCTGCAAGTAACTACCTAACATAAACTGCCTTCTCCCTTTATAGCAGAGGACCAGAGAATTTTTGCTGGTGAAAGGCAAGAAACATATTCCTCAGCACACGGAGATCAAGCTGTTCTTCTAAAGATCCTTAGCAGAACAGGGGCTGAAGTAGGTACATGGGACGGGTAGCTTGCCTCGGCTGCTATATGAAGTACATATGAGTAAGGTAAATTCAACCCTCACCCCAAAGGAGAGTTCCACCAACATTTTCTTTTTTACGGGAAAACTAGATTCAAAACCTGCTCAAATTAAATAAGGATGGTCAATGCAAATGCATAAGACACTGTCAGCACAGTAAGAGTCTACTTTAGTGGAAACATTCTAGGATCTTCCTGGTACCTGAAACTTCTGCCACACGATGAAACTGTGACTCCCCCCCCTCTTCCCCCCAGTATAGGATTTGTTCTACATCTCACCAGGTTGGATCATAAATATGGGATTTTTTTTTTTTTAGTGAAAGACTCCTAAGCTGTGATGACATCGTATTGATATCTTTCTGAACATCACTTGCTGGGGAATAAGCGTGGAAGAGGTTTATTGCTTTATGCTCTGTTTGGGGGCTTTAAAAAACATCTGATGGGCTGTTGTATAACATGGTATGCTGGATCTGATGAACCATGCATCTGATCGAGCAGAACGTAGAATGAGCTTAGGCAAGTGACCCTTTCAGGAGGATGGCTTGAGTCAGCGAATGGAAAGATAAATGTCCCTGAATGTTTTGCCCCTGTGCTCTTTTAAATTGAGGAAGGAGAATATGCTTTTGAAATTTCCCTTAAAGGAAAATTCCACAACATTCTTGGAGATATAACATAGTGTTCTTGCACTTGTTTAGTTACAGGGTTGCTTTGGGGCTTGGGTGAAGGTACTGTTTTTTATTTTATGATAATCTCTCTAGAAATCTTTAGCCTGCCGTGCTTCAATTAAACTGCAAGGAAAGCCCTCAGCATTCACATGGGGCTTTTATCATTTGGGAAGCATGTGTAGCTAGGGAGGGTACAGGTTAATGGAGGGATATGTCATGGAGAATGAGGATACTGGCAGTACCATCCTCTGACCTCTCCCACAATCAAACCAACCGAACAACGTGATCAAGAGAAATCCAGAAGAAATTCTCAGTCATTCTGAGTGATGGAAAACATCTTTTGAGAAATGCAAGGCAGATATTGGTACAGCATTCATATGAGCTCATATATTTATTTCAACCTTCTAAACTTCAAGGGACACGTTAAGAACTCTACTTGCTTTGAGAGGGAGTTTCCTGATAGCTAGAGACAACTAAGGATGTCCTAGGTCAACCATATGTACATGGACAGGATTGTTGAATGAGCTGTATTTAAGTAATTTAAGTCATCATTGGTGCTGATAACAGAATCTGTAGTAACAAAACATCAGGGATTATACTGTTGTCATCATTGCTCTAAAATAAATACAATGTAGAAAAATAAAAGCTGGCTGCTGTGTTTTGATAAGGACTTTATATACCCCATCATGAATGGGTATGTGAACATCACTATGTATTTTAAGAAACTGGCAAAGAAATGGATCTCAACATTTTAAATAAATAAATAAAAAGATGAGTCCAAGAATTATAAAATGTGGAAGGAAGGAAAAAAAAACAGGAAAAGGTGAGAAAAGGAAAATTTGGGAATACGTTTACTACATGGCTATAGAATATAAAGGGAAAATGCAGGAATTTTACATCTATATTCAATAATTTTTTAAAAAGGGAGTAGTAGAGACAGATACAATCTAATAAAAACTGGGGTTTATAAATATTTTGAAGCAAACAGATGCTGCATTTTGAAGATCTCCTGTTCCTGTCCACCAGCCAGCCTTCAATGCCCTCCTGTAGAATATTTCATTCCATCCCTTTCTCCTACCCGTTATTTCCCTACCATCTTTCCAACAATTATTTCACATTCTTTTTCCTGTTTTTTTAAAAGAGTAACACACATACACACAAACATATTCCTCTCCTCCCCAGATGCATCCCAACCAGGAGTAAGAGTGTTCGGTAATTACAGAATATTGATTTTTGGTTGGAAAAAGAAACATATGGAATAGACAATGAATGGAGGATCCTGAAAACAGGCAACTGCCTGAACCCTCAAAACAATGCCACAGTTAGCTGTGTTTTGCTAATCAGACCAATAATTAGAGATGGGGAGGCTGTCATGCTCCCCCCAATACTTCTGAACTACATCTTCTAGCAGCCCCAGCCAGCAATGGTAGTACAGTAGACACATGGATTCGTAGTTTACATATCTATTGAGGGTAAGAAGTTCCTCACCCCTGCATTGTTTTGGGTTAGGACTGGGGAGTGCTTATTTTCAAGCCCCCACCCCCCCAGTTTTTCAAAGTGGATAAAATGGTGGTGGTCTGCCGCATTATGTTCTCCAACAATGAAATAAAGCTTAATCAACCCTTGACCATCTTCTGTAACGTCTTGCTGGAAAAAGGAATCTAGAGAACTCATAAGCTTGCACATTCCTTAGTGCTATTTTGCTTGATCTTAATAAAGATATTACCCACCTGTGGATTTTAGAAGTCATTTTCTTGCAATTCCCAATTGAATGTTCACAGAACAGTGAAGGGGTGGATGGACACATTTGTAGCACCAGAAGTATATCAGAGAATATTCTCAGACCAACAGACCATGCAGTTAATGTTGTAGGGTTGAAACTAGAAGAGAGGGCACTGTGTATACTCTCATTAACTTCTGCTGGAAAGGTAGGATAAGAATTAACAAACAAACCATAGGGTAGGAATATGTTCCCTCTGTTCAGAATAGACATATGTACAGGATCCAATATGGTAGAGCTTGCACTGCGTGGTGTCTCACATCCACCTCCCTGTTTAGAAACTACATCAGAACTTTCTACAATGACAACTCTAGCAACATCTCAATCAACTTTTAACAAATACTGCCTGCCCTCCAAATTAGAAAGAAAAAAACAAGGACAGTGATTTTTTTTACCAGGGACATACTGTATAACAAAAGGTAAAAATTCATTCTAGACAAACAGGACCTCTGGATCTTATACTCTTTTATCAACAGGCATGGTCAGCAGCTGTCCACCCCAAACCCTCCTTTGAAAGATGAAGAATATATTTCCCTTCCCTTTGGGTCATGGCCTTTGATCACAAGTCTGGGATCTTTTGTGTAATGGATGTTTGTGTAACCAACCCCCCACCCCATCCCAGGGAAGTCTTCTTATCATCACGAGAGGTGGCAATTCAGACACTGGGATCAAATCTGCATTATGAGGAGGAAAAAGATCATTCATGCTCCTAAACTGCTAATTGTCCTGACAAGAAGCAAGGTAAATGAAAGGTCACTTCACATCCTTATGATTGGCCACAAAAACCAAGCACCAGCTTCCTGCAGCACTTTCCTTGCACTGAAACTATGAGTCTTCTCTGCATTTTTGTCATACAGTGTCTGGAATTTGTTCCCCGTCTGAAAAAAAGAAAAAAAGAAAAGCTTTGCATTAACTAAGTGCCCATTTACAGATGGAAGTGTAAAGCCCAGAGTTTCTGGAGCAAAGATGGTACGAAACTTTGGCATAGATCTGGGGGAAAACCTAGTGTCGAGCTTCTTGAACAGAGCTGAAAAAGTATCACTGCACATCCAGTGGATTGGCCACTGTTCTTAACTGGGTGGATTTGTTCGGTCTAGGTACAGATAGCATCCGTATGTTCACTAAGGCATACATCACTGTACATTTCTCATTCATGGGAAATACATAGGGAAGGATGAGAGAAGAAGTAGGGCGAAGTAGGGCTGTAGCATTACAGAGGTATGAGCCCACAGAAACAGTCTCACTAAAAGTGTTCACATGTGAATGTGTTACATTTGCCTCCTCCACCTGATGCCCCCTAATATACTGAAGAATTACTCTCATTGGGCATGTTGGCTGGGGGGTGGGTGGGGAAGGCAGGGAGGGAATTGCAGTGCAGCCAGGCTAGAGGAGACCGTACCTGTGCTAGCAGGTTCATTTCAGCACCTCTCCTGAATTCTAGCATTATGAAAGAGGAAGACATCTCTAGGTGCTTTCTCTAAGCCAGGGGTCGTTTTCTTACAAGCCCTTAGCATCTCTACCTTTTGTTCTGACTTGGTTGGGTTGATATTTAGCCAAATCTAGGGAGATGGAAAAATCTAGTGACCTGTGTCTTAGTGCTGAGACATATTTGGGCATGTGTCAATGAAAATGCAGGTGCTGAGGGTGGAAGCAATGGTGAGTGGGAGGAATCTACAATCCCTTCCATGCATTCGAATAGAAAAATATTGATTAGACCGGCGTTCTGACTGAAAAGGCTTTCATCCACAGCTTTGTTGGAGGAAGGGCTGCCTTGGTTTCATGTTTGTAAGAATGTCTTGTGGTAAATGTTACGCATACATGGGAATGGCATTTCTCTGACACTCATAGGGAGCTAATTTTGTGTTCTCACAATCTTTTCAGGAGGAACATATTGATGCGCCTGTTGAAGATCCCTTATCCAAAAAGCAGGGTGAGTGCTGATCAAGTAGTCCTTGATTCTTTGGTTATTCTCCTTGTTAAATAGGGTGAGACAGTTCGAGCAGGAAATGTGGAAGATTGCTTTAGAGCTTCCAATTTGGCTTTTAGACCAAGATTTTGCCTAATCTGCAACGTTTGTTTGCCAGGATGGTTCCGATTTGGCTAATGGCTATTATTAATTTGGCCACATGGGAGCAGGAAGTACAACCATACCATGTGACAAACAGGTTACTCTAACAACCCCCTTAAAGCATGTGGGAATTGTAGGGTAGCTAGTTCATTCTATTACCTAATATAGAGACATTCAGAGGATGGAGGAAAGGGACAGTCCTCGAAACTTCTGGACAACTGGACCATTGACCAATGAGGATGGAACAGAGTGATCTGGGCCCAAATCAATCTG